TGTGTTCGACTTCAAATGGGAGCCGGTAACCTCACAGGACTGTGGCAGGTAAAACAGTCTCAGCATTTCTTTCCTTTTCCGTTCGTTCGTTTCCCGTTCGCAGAGATTTCATACCACTGTTCTACGACAGCTTATTCTACGCTTACAACATGGCCATTTTTTCTACCAGGTTCTCTATAGTAGTGTACCATACCTTCCGACTGAGGCGGGCTCTGGAATTTTGGCACGAAACATCTTGGTTACTGGTTTACCTGCGACTCAAAAGCTGCGGGCACATTGGCAATGGGCGGGCGGTTGCTGGCAACGTCTGGAGGAGGGGTTGAACGGTTTGTGGCCATGAGCCCTTTCGCACCCTTTCCACCGGTGACGTTGGCAGTAACCGCCTGCCACAAACCATCGTACACACTGCCTCTGAGTAGAGCGAGAATGGGGATCGTCCGCTGTGTCCTTAGTACAGATGGGAGAAGTGGGAACACGGGTTTTGGTCATTTCTGCCGTTCCTGGCATAGGATGCATCCCCCAAACACCATGATTCATTGTTGCGCGTACCCTGCCCTGTTCAGTACTGTAGATCTATGAATTCTACAATAGACAGGAAATTTGTGCAGTTATCCCCGTTAGGGCGCTATTTTTCTACGCCATTCTAAGGCAGCGTTCATACTCCGCGACGACACGATCGATGCGCATTCTCTCAACTGCATCGATCGCGTCGAACCGTTCGACCGAGGCGCTGCCGTCGCGAAGTCTGAACGCTGCCTTACATTGCCACCTATCTCCACACATGATTCACCGCCTTATTCGCTGCAGGCGTCGGGCTTGTTGGAAGAGCTGGGTTGGGCGCGGTGCCAGCTTGTTTCCTGCCAATCTCTGTCACTTTCCCCTCTTTGACCACTGAAACAGAGCGGGCTGACTACTCACCGAACAGAGCTACCCTGGCACGCCCATTCATCAGCAGCGAACAACGCTTTAGCAACCGTATGTTCTACGAAGGATTTTGTAAGCCGGAAAATTTCAGCCATCTCGTTATCAACGAAAAGTGCGAAATGCAACCGATTTACGAGGAACGAAGGGCTGAGTTCTGGAAAAACATTCGGATTACGGCGAAGAGCAACTGAACATCCCGTTCTCTTTCAAGTTGAATTAAGATTTCATAAGTTTAATTACGTGGTGCTCAAATGATATTGCATTTCGAGGCAAAGGTAGTTGAGGTGACGTGCGGGGGCGAAACTGTCTTTTTGTTGGCCCATCTTTTTGAAGGTTGAGAGTGGATAAACCTCATTTTTACACATGCAAGAAGGCAGACATTTTTCCATTCGCGAGAGAGTCCAGTCACACAGACCATGTCATATCGCGCCGCCACACAGCCTATCTCAAGTACTTTTGCCCCTGTATACCGCCAAGGGTTGCAATTAATACCTTTCGGAATTGACGAAAAAGTCCTTCAAGTTTCTTTTCAGAGTTTTACGGCGCTCTTCTGCCTATTATGATGTTTACCTAGCCGGTTAGAATTTGCATGATCTTCCTAGAAAATTATATTTTCTTTCACCCATTATTGTTTATGTGCCTGTTCTATACTAGTCAAGTTGTAAACGCCCAGAATTTGTAGCTTGCAGCGCGTGACATTCTCAGTACATCCAAATGCCCTTACCTACGAATGACCGGCTCGCGACCGCGTGCTCGGGTGTCACCTGCTGCGGTCACACTAGCCGTATGTAACCCACCTCTTTTTTTTCCTGTCCTTTGCATCTTGTGAATTCTACATTCATTTTTCATTCTTAAGAAAGACTCTATTTATTTCCAGTGAAGAGAATTTCTCACAGATTTGTACAGGTATCTTTTGTACAAAGTTAGCTGTTCGATTATTGTGGTGAACTTGTCTCATACGGGTGTGTTTTTGCATAGGTTTTGTTCTAATGAAGATGGTGATGTCATAAAGGAGTTTCTATACATTTTACTTTGTAAAGACTTTCAAATGAGAGGACATTACATTAGCATTATACTCGACAAAGATAGATTTTAATATACAGATGAGGACGGGGAAGTCGGCGAATCGAACGCTAGCCATTATTTCAGCGGCAACATAGGAAGTTAGGTTCGCCGGAGATCTGAAATCAGAAAGTACTAGTTCATACTGTGCCAAGAACGCGGTAGAGACTTCACGTACAGCCTCATTCACTGCGAATGCTGGGGCGTGTCTGGGAAGCTGAGTTTGGCACAGCGCCAACCACTTTCCCATCGACTGTAAATTCTGGATTAACTGCAATTGATGGAAAACGGGACGGCGTCGCGCTAAGTGCTGCTCATCATCCTCCTAACCCCCCCCCCCTCCGCCCAACACACCCCTGCATGCGCCGCGAACAAGACTGTAAAACGCTACCAGTAGCACATGGCTGCTGCGTTGATGGATTTTTCAGGCGATGAAGCTCATCCACTAAGAAATACGAAGTTAGATAGTTTTGAAGCTGCAGTTCGTGCTTGCCGCTTGGGCGGAGCTACGTGACCAAGTGCGCCTTTTCGTTTTCCACTCCATTTTGCAAAGGAGAAGAAAGAGGAAGGGGCAGTGGTCGCAGTAACTGCGCAATTACGATTGACGCGAAATATGTTCCACGTCTCAGCGACGTGGTGGGCGTGACTGCGCACCCCGCTGGAGCTGTCATTCGTGGGATATTTGAATTAAAAACTGTAGTCTTGTCTTGTGTTGCAAAAGACATGCTCGCAGTTGTGCCCAAATATCCCAACCAAAAGTCAGCCGCTACCACAGCCAGATGGAGTACGTAGCCACGCCTCCCACACCGCAGCGATACTAAGCGCACGCCCTTGACAGAATTTCGAATAAAGCGTACCTTTTCGAATTCTGTGCTGCTTTCACGGCATTCATAATCATCTGGACAGGCATCGGCTTGATTCGGATCACACAAGACCGGCATTGGTGCTGGCTTACCGGACGAGCACACTGTAATACATTTCGGAGCACTAAAGTTACCGAAAAAAAGAAAGGTAAGGCTTCGGGATCCGGAACTGCGAACTGGAGTTCGTAAGCGAAATTGCTGAGGGTACCTCTGAATTCGATTTTTTGTCTCCGTATATACCACCAACGAGTGCTACTAGGAGGCGGGACCCACTCAAGTCAGCGAAACCGCCCACCTTCTGGGATCGGTAAATGGGAAGCGGATCCAGCTAGAGGGATAAAAGCACTGCCTTTTCAGGCTGGCCGACAGCTGTGCAGGCCAAGTCGCAGATCGAAAGCTGTTGTGATTTTAAGTGATTGTTACTACACGTGGCGTAACCCAGGAAGGGACTCAACAAGGTGTCTTCACCTTTTATCAGCGGTGAGGCAACCAATAACTAGCCCGGGAATACCCAAGTTTCTGTACAGTGGTCCTACTGCGATATCTTCTTCGGGAACTTTCTTCTGTAAATCAATGCTGAACGCTTTGGCAGGCCTTCCCAGTTTCCTATACTGGATCCAAAAAGCTATCTAAACTTTTGCTGGGCTAACCTGGCTGCACAGCTCCTGCCTTGGGCTCGCAACATACTCGTTGCAAGCGGTTAATACTGTAGACACACGATCCTGAAGCACAATCGCTCTCCGATTTACAAACGTCCGTGGCCGACAAGAAAGGCAAGTAGCAGTCAGGCACTGAAATTACTACTGTGAAAGAGAACCTACAATTCACACAGAATTAGGAAATGTTGTGGCGACGAGAGATGTTTTTGCATTTCTCCTCCATATGACCCCCAATATCCGTCGGGCGCGTAGGAGAAGTAAGGGTTGAGCTCACTAACCATTTTTCATTCAAAACGTAAAATTTCCCAACTAACCCGCTGAGGGTTCCTAAGCGTCCGCCGAGCCCTGTGTAGGAAATCGCACTTGATCATTCGCAGCAGCGATGAATGAGAGGAAATGAAATGAAGGAAACGTATAGAAGGAATGTATAACTGTATATGTAAACAAAATCTAAGGAATAGAATGAATTAGGAATCACTGGAAAAGGGAGGTATTACCTGACCTGTACAGTCGCGTGCTTTTCGAAACAACGATACGCATATGAAGAGCCTTCTTTTGAACAGGGCAAAATTCTCGGTCAATCTCAGTAGCGCGGAAAAAGGACTCTTCGGAAAAACTCACCGGCGAGCGCACGCGTCGCGTGCGTGCTCTAGCCACAGCGATAGTGCTGCTAAAAGAAAAAAAATTTAGCATTGTACTAAAGCAGTCCTAAGGCAATAAGTGACTGCCACTTTAGTGACAGCGCCTGTCAGCACTCAGCCCTTCGATGAAGCATCGCAGCGGCATTGCTCCGCCACGTGCGCGCCACCGGCAAGCTTTTCTTCCCCCTCCTCTTTCCCCTCCCCACCTCAAGAAAAGGAACTCACAGTATTGCACTCTGTCAAGCGGAACTGGGCTGCAACTAATTTACTGAAAGTTTTTCCAACGCCTTTACACAGAGACCTTCCCCCCTCCTTTTCACCTTGGAACCCTACTACCACCCCTATGTCGCTATTCACTGAAAGGCACGCTAGCGTTCAAACATATGCGGCTCAGATACTAATGTCAAGAGTGTGTTAAGTAGCACAAAAGTGAAAAAAATCTGCGCGAAACGTCCCATGCAGAACCCGTGCTGAATCGCGAAGGGAAGACAAAGGCGAAGAAAGGGCGTGGTCGGACCCGCCCCAGCTCCTTCTCCTTTTTACCTCATTCTCGCACTAAAAAATGAAGCGGAGCCTCCCTTTAAAGATTCGGTGGACAGTCGAAGGTGGTCTACACATATTTCGCAAGAGAAGAGCCAACAACCAGGCTGCCTCAATGTTTCGTTGTACAACTCGACACTTGGTGAGGGCTGCCTTTTCAGTTTGGAACAGAATCTGGTGGAAAAGGAGGGCACGCTGTAGACGCGACTACTCTAACTCTCTAACTAATCGGCTCTCCTTCTACCAAAGTAAGCGCGAATTAGCTTTGTGTAGTTGCGTGCGAGGTGATTTCCGACTAATTTTGTCCAGGACCAAATGAGGTAAGGGAAGTGGCGAGAACAATTTTGTTTGCGGGGACGTGTCAAGGGGCTGGGTTTGGCGCGGCGCCGACCGAGTTTGCCCAATTGTAGTCGTCTGCCGGCTTCCAAATGCAGGGGAGAACGGGCTGACGACGTATAAGCCCGGTCCCACGTCTCTGGTGAACAAGACTTGAAAGCCCTACCGAAACCTCAAAAGACGTGGCAAGGTGGTAGCACACCAAGATAAGGCATGACGTGGCGCAGTCAAGAAGCTGCGAGGCGCCCACCCTCAGTTATCTGTGCCGCTGCAAAGGATGACTACCCATTAAATAGATATTTCGAAATGATTTAAGATATTTCAGCCTTTTAATTGATTCCTAAATGGAGCCGAGGATTCACGATGCCAAAATCGTAAAGTATGTAGTAGTTCCAGATTAGTTTCTTTCGAGTGCGAGAGATAGCGAGTAAACAAACAAGTAAATAAATAATCAAGGATTTCGTGACCGCGGTTATGCTGCAGCGGTATAACATTAGATGACATTATTTACGGGTATACAAATACACCAGCTACCAATTTCAGCATTGACCCACCTGCTGTAACAGTTGTAACAATGAAAAAGACGATGGTGAATTTCATGGCAGCGCTCGGTGGATATCGGATCCGGCAGTCGGCCGTGTAAGCGCTTTTATAGCAACATGCTGGGCATTGTGCTCACATGTTTGTTGGTTTTTCACGCTAATACGCCAAGCGACCCCCCCCCCCCCCCCCCTCCCCTATCGCAAGCTCTCAGGGGAACACAGGAATGAAGCCTCCACCTCGCCAGTGCCTCCAGTCAGTTGAAAATGCTCCCAAGACCAAGCTGATATTGTTTGTTAACTGCTGTTTAACGCCGCAGTACGCGATTCGAAAGCTATCACAAGAATGCTGAGTTATGGGCAAAAGTCGGACCACGGGCGGGATTCGAACCCGCATCTTCCGCTTTCCGTGCGAATGCGTTCCCTATTACGCTACCGAGGCCACCTTTGACCACTCAGCTCAATGGTTTTGCCCATAACTCAGCATTCTTGTGATAGCTCCCAAGACCCTTTGAGAGGTGGAGCTGCTGCTACAAGAAGCGCGTTCTTTCTACGGGTACACTGGGTTGGCCAAGTGGTAATTCTGGTAGTGTTAGCGTCGAGAAAGAGATCAGTAATTTCGATGGACAGTAGACTGTTGCCCATGATCTGCTTACCTGTAATCGAATCGAACATTGAGGCCAATTAGGGATGATTGCAATTAAGAGCCATTTACACCTTTCATTGCTACTTTTGACTTCCTTTTTAAGATGTTTAAAACTAGTAAAAATAAGTATTCCCAAAGAAACCTTGAGATAGTAGGGCGCTGGCGGTTTCTCGCAACATTTTTCATACGCTCAGACAGCTCTGAAATTGCAATTTTTGATAATTCAAAAGAGTTAGTTCAGGAATGGACCTAGGTATGTCGCCAGTCAGATACCAAACAGCTGTGATTAGGTTTTTCGGACGAGTATCAACCCATTGCACCTCTGAGGCAGCATATTGCGCTCTCAGCTCAAAACATTTCGTTGTGAAGGACATTTCTGCAGCGCTTCAGCAGTTACGTACTGATACTGTAACCGTACGGTACAGGTACGACTCCTGGTTGAGCCCAAACCTTTGCCTATAACTGGACGTTCTTGTGGTTTTACTAGGTTTTATTACTAGCACTAGCCGAGACCAACTGCGAGTTCTGCTAGGAGACAGGTCTTTTGCCACCTACTTTGCATACTTGTAAATGATTGCTACAATTATTTGAATGGGGAAGTTTCCATTTCTCTACAGGGGAACAATTGAAAATCTCTACCCGAAACAGGATGGAGTCCTGAACGGAGGCCTCCAACGCCTGATGATATATGTCCTGCTCCCATGTCTTTTCCAAGTTTTCCAAGGTGCTGAGTTTTAAAAATCATTTTTCAGCAGTTTTTCAAAACAACATAACTCAAGACGTGCTATTGATACAGAGTACGTCGCACCAACAGAAAAAATACTGAATCCCCCCAGGGACCACTGGGCTTAGCCCAAGTGCTTCCAAACGATTGAAAATTGTTTCTGTTCCTGAAAAACAGCTGTATGCAACGAACGTTATGCCAAGCATTACGCCATGACAGCTGTGTAATTGGCGTTGCAGTCGGCTGACAAAAAAATCGGACCACACAAGCTGACGTCAGAACGTCATCAGCTTGTGTGGTCCAATTTTTTGTCAGCCTGCTGCAACGTCATCGAACGGAAGTCCTCAGCGTGGAATTCGCATAAGCCAGGGATATTTGCAATACTTAAATGACTGACGGATGTTTTAGTGACGTATTTTGGAAGTTGCATGAAGATGCTAATAATAGGTTGGTTCTAGTAATGTTTTTCGTAAGAGCCAGATTAAAAGTAAATATTTTTGGAAGTATGATGTATCTCACATTCAATGGATATGTAAAAGATATCTATGCGCCTTCCGTTGACATGGTCGTTGGTCAAAAAAGAGCGTGCGTATCATTGCAGCTCTTCAGAAAGGGCAATACGCGGGCACAAATGAAGAAGCCGCGAGTGTCCAAGTAACTCCGCCCATGCTATAGGATTGTGCCTTCGAGGTACCCGAGTCAGAGGGTAGTTACATCTTGACTGTGTACACAATATCCCACCAAGGAAGACTCTTTTACCGACATTCATGGAATATGGATGATGACTATGGTCAAATTGGCGTTCAGAGAATAGAAATTGGAGCTGAATTCGGCATTTTGAGAGCTTGATTCTGAAATTTTGACTTTAACCCTTCAAGGAGTACGCAGTAAGGCAATATCCATCAAATTAGCATCAGTTTTAGTACAGAGTTTTATGGAGCACTGGCCCCAATCGGATCACTTCCGCGTACAACGGGCTATTGGCAGTTTTGTAATAGATTATTAACACAGATCGCCATGAACTCTGCAATCTTTTAATCCTCAATTATGGAATGTCATCGTACAAAAACCACTTTCAGATCGATAAGTGGGATAAGAAAGTTACCAGAGAATGGATTTTTCAGTAATCTCAGAATAAAACTTAAAATTCCTTCAAAATTTTCTGTGACAGGACTCGTTCACTAAACTTTACGAACCTTCGAAGGGTAAAATATAGCATTCGCTTTTTTGAGTTGATCAAGGAAGAAATCTGCTATCTTTTCTCATCAGAAATGGTTGAAGCAGGGAAAGCAGCACAATAATGCAGCCATCACCTGTGATTTGAACTGGCAATTTATGACGCGATGCGCCACGCATCTATCCTCACCATATGTCGCAGAAATGATTGACTGATAAGTCTATTGTCGACGGCATATGAATGACCAGAATACGAACATAAAAAAAACTAGTAAACTGTCCGTTCCATGGTATGTTGGAATTGTGGCAAGTAGCTCGCCCTGGGATGAAAAGCCGGACCAGTCTACAACCCGATCAAAGCAGGCCATCTGTCCTCGAGGGTTCTATGACTGTCCTGAGAGGAGAACACTAGCTTTTACAACGGTGCCCGTACCCCATTATAAAGGCCATGTGCCACTCAAGTGTCACAACGACTCTGAACGCAAGAAGAACGTGTGACTTATTTCGAAGAGAGGAGTTCAACGGCAAAAACGGGTCTCCGTGCTTTTTTTATTTATTTTTCACATTTTTATTCAGTACGTTCTAATTATAGAGTGCTTAAGGGCTAACAGTCACTCGGCCTTCGTGAAGGCAATTGATTTCTGACCAAAAAATCTCACCTGCCCAACCAATTAGAGAGCTGCGCAGGGATTACTCGCGGATTACGATATTCTATGCCATATAAAAGTATACACAAAATTCTTCGATAACCTATTTTCTTTTCAAATGTTAAGCATTATACATAGTACTTGTTCGAATTGCTGAGAAACTCTTTACTGAATTACCCAAGCAGTTACCCAATCGGCAATTTCTCATGCTTCCAGATGTATTTAGAATGGTCTCAGGGCTTCACGGCTTCATACATAGCTTCATGTTTTTTCTTGAGTGATCCTTTGGAAGCGTAGATCTTACTAGTTTTGCAATCTAGAGGGAGTAAAGCTCCTTAGGAAACTTTCAAAAAAAAAACACTTTTCTTCCTCGACTTTCAAGGCGATATAATTTACACTTTATTAAGTTCTGATTGGACATTTTCACCATTGAGTTCAACAACGCATTGCACACGATCACGAACTCCGCCAGCCTTCTGGACGAACGCCATCGAGAGATTCTGCCACGCGACCGTGATTCGGTGCCTGAGTTCAGCGAGGTCGTTGATTTCTCCGCCACTGTAGACCACCCTGTTGAGCTTCTCCCGGACCCGGTAATCGAGGAAGTTCAGGATAGGGGCACACTTGGATACTCCATCTTTTCAGATACGTCCTCCGATTCCAAATAGGCTGGCGTTTTTCCAACGCCTTTCAGTTCCATTGCTAGCACCCAATCCTGTAGCAGTAAAAGTTTCCAAGGAGGTACAGGCGACGACATGAAGGCAGGATATTCTCCTCGAGTTGGTCGATGTAACAGTCAGCGTTCACTTTCAGTCCGGGGTCCACGAAGAAAATATCGGTCTTCCCATTCCAGGAACTTCCGGTCCATACCATCAACCCGCGCCTTGGCGACTGCGGTGAAGATGATATCCTAGACCGTAGCGACGTTGTCGGAGCTGTTGTTGCAGGTCTTCCATATAAGAGCGTCGGTCCCCAGGTAGCTGTCCTATGGGTATACAAGAAGTTTCGCAGCTGTTTGGAGGTGACGTGAATTCCAAGGCCTTCTCCAGTCAGGCTGCGATTGGAGATGACTTCATATTTTGGTGTACATGAAGGTGATGGGCGAGAGCCTGCTCCTGCTTATCGAGGAACATCTTGGGTATCTTCCGCCCTGGTACTCATATCCAGTCTTCTATCTAACCTGCGTAAACTTTACTGATATATGACTCGGCTTGAGCGTCTTTTTTTTGCCCCCCCCCCTGTACCCCACTTCTTGTAAGTAGCTGCATTGTAAGTACAGTCTTGTTTGCTGCGGCGTTTGAAGGGATTGTGTTAGACGCTGCGCCATCCCGTTCTCGATCGTTTGTGGAAGCGGTTTAGTCACCACAGTTGGTGCGAAACGGGCTGGCGCTGCGCCAACTTTCACACCCCCTCCCCTCTGATAGTGTTCGAGTTCGAACACGCATCCATTGGCTTTGGTTGCAGATGAACTCACAGCTCGTCGCGGTCGCAATCGTTGCATTTTTGGCGATTCGCCCGTCTGCGGCTCAGACACCGAAAGCCAAATTTGATTCGAAAGTGAAAGCCTTGGGTGTCAAATTTTACACGGTCGCTGAAATCGGAAAGGTTTGCCAATTGTGCCTTGCCTTTGATCTATTATCTCAAGTCAATATCCATACTTTCTATTTAGCTCACCGACTGTATCGATGACTCTTTCTATGCTTGTGCTACTATGAAAGAGATCAAAGAGAGTGAGTACAGTATTGAGAACTTTTCTTGATTGATTATCCTTGTAAAGTAGTTTTCAGAAGCCATATCATGTGCAATGGAGAATACTGCTGCTGCAAAATACATCACGTTGATGAAGCTGTTGACAGGCAGTGAGTACTGAAAAAGCTCTTTTTAATTTGTAGGGTCGTAGAAACCACAGGGGGTCGTATTTGGTCTAAGGGGGCAACCGATTTCCCTGTTTGATTCGCCTGTTCACAAGAGATACTGCCATAACGAGATCTTATTTGCTTAGAATTTTTTGAAAATTAAGAAGCTGGGACTGGTTAGCAAGGTAGTAGGTAGCACGGGGAAGGGGTCGTACATAATTTGGTGGGGAATTTGGGGTAGTATCTTATCGCATCTTCTGATCAAGCATTTAGAGGAAGGAAAATAAGGAATAGAGATGAGAAGAGGAAGGAAGAAAAAGTTAGAAAGGGTGAGGAAAAAGTGGGGATGAGGGCGGATTCGCGATTGACATATATGCTGACAATGAGACCGTCAGATGGCTGAGTTTGGCGCGGAGCCAAGCCGTCCTTTACCATTTGTTGAAGCGAGCAAGCAAGACCAACAGATGGAGAACTGGCTGCCACACCAAACCGAGGTGCCACCTGATCCTCCCCAGTATCGACGGCGAACAGGACTGTAAGCGTGGCACTTTTATTACACCGCCTCCACGTCCTCACGACGTCCTGGGTAACAATAATGACGACGCTGTTTACTACGGAATGTTACCAGTTTCATATTGCAACGGAGAATTCAAGTAGGAGAACCTTGCGTCGAACTAGCTGGGTAAGATATTTATTTCAAAACGACGTCAAGATAACTTCTTTTAGTGGACAACTGCCTTAAGCCGGAAGGTCAAACAACAATGAAGCTTATCGACAAAGTCACTCCATCTGCCTTCACAGTCGTACAGGGTGTCTACAATAAGGTCAGTTGATGAAAAACTTTTGGAAGAATCTTGATTGAAAAAGTGTCAAGTAGAAATGAGCTACTATACTACATAGAGATGGGGGGTTTTACGCGGCGAGAAGACTGAATCCGCCCCTCCTCTTTTCAAGGAGTAACTTATTTTCCCGCTCGTGATTGGAAAAGAGTATAAATAGTCCTAAATAAACTAAAGATTTAGACAATCGCTGATATCAAGATCGCAAAAAATGCTGGAAAATCGAAAGCGGAAGTTATGGACATTGGATATACGACCATAGCTGGACAAGTAACCAAAGCACTGATGGAAAAACTGTGCAATACACTCATTCCGGCGAGTTTTCTTTCATTAAATTTGAAGCAAAAACAACCTCTTGAAGTGTTGATACATCTGAGTAAGTCGCTCTACTTTTCGGTCTCTTGAAAAGAAGGGTTAAAATGTGTGCTCGAAGAATGTGAGCACTTTCGATCATCTTGACGTGAAGTGAAAAGTGTGTCATGAGAAATGGGAATGAGAGGCTTGGAAAATCGCTGACTCTTCATACTCTTGTTTCAAGAGCGCTCTGATGGCCTTTGCACTAGAATTCGATAGTTATTTGATCTACTGACCATGGGGAGACCAAGGCGAAAATATGCTGCACCATTTTTTTCGCCCTATCGTCACCCGAGAGCTACAAAATAATGAAGAAAACATGGAATGAAAGTCACTTAGTTGCTAAGAAAATCTCTAAATATTCGAAAATGAATCATCGTGTATCCTCCTTTCAAAGCGCGTTTCATAAGATTCTTAGTTATTAACAAAGACTTTTTTCAGATCATCACAAAACTGGAATGGAACTGCTACCTTACTAAAACCACAGATCTCCTTGATATGACTTTGTATGAATGTTCGAAGATTGTCAAGAAGTAACTGCGCTGTGGATAAAGCTGTTAGCGGCATTCATTGATTCATTGATGTTAATAGAGTACCTCGCATAAGAGCAAAGTGGACAGTTATAAGTACTGAGAATCTGCCAAAAGAAAAGCTGACGGAAAGCGCAGAGTTGATAACGGAAGTTGAGGACGATTAAGTTGGACTCTCACGCTCAGCGTGGATCTTT